TTTTTTTTTAAAGACATTTCAAATAATCACCATGTCATAGTTAGTTTAGTTTATTTTCTCTCATTGATATTCATTAGAATGTAGGTTAAAATAAAATAAGAAGAATTTTTATGTTCTATTTCAAAAATGACATAAGCTGGTAGATTGAAACTTGAACAAAGTTATTATTACTTGTTCTTTGTTTAATTGATATGTTAGATATGAAATAATAAGATAGACCTACATTTAATCAATATTAATCTCGTGTTAAATTTAGAAATTCAAAAGAAAATATTTATTTATTTTAGTTACCTGAAATAAATCTAAATGTCAAATTAATTTTACTACCATGTCCAATAAGTCAACAAGAATCAAAGCAGATTTAATATCAAAAACATAACAGAAAAATTTGCTTTAAATCTTCATCTTGATGAAACAGCAACAAGTGGTGAAGATTGGGCTGATGATGAAGAACAAATTGAAGGTGATGAAGATGATCTTAATAGAGAAAATCTTAATAATAATCAAGATGAACAAGATGAAGGTTGGGGTGATACTGAAATTGAATTACCACCTGATCTTGTATGTTTTTATTCAAATATATAAATTATTGGTTTATTTAATAAATACTTTTGAATTTTTATTTTAATTATTAAGATGTGATGCACGTTCACCAAAATTATTTTATCCAGCAGTTGGATTTAAATTAGAAAAATTAGTTGGACGTTGTCAAATCGCTTATTGTTCAACAAAAAATGAAAAATTTCAAGATCAACAATGAATTGAAATATGTAAAGAAAATATTGTTGATTTACAAATGTCAATGAGAAAAAAAAGATTTAGCAAAGGATAATCAAAAACATTCATGTGAATTAGCTGCTGATTTTACTCATTTACAATTACAACCAATACATAAAATCATGACATTAAAATTTGCACTTAATGAAGCATTGTGAATTAATATCCTAGGTCTACTAGTAAAGAAATCTTTATAAAAACATAGCTATCTTTAATGCACTCAAAGATATGTCATATCTGTTGATCGAAGTTGTTCATGTTTTTTTGATTTATTTGAAAACAATTGAGTCTATTCTTTGTTAAATGAAATATAATTTTCGTTCAATTACTTTAGAAGACGGACATAAAAACAAATAAAAACTTTTTTTTTTTTCATTTTGTTTAGACACGGAAAGTATTAAGTGTTTGTGAAAAAAATTCAATTGATGAACATCCATTAAATTATGATGAATATAATCCATTTAGTATTTGTCCAGCATCCTATGTACCACATTTATCGGTATGAAATTTAAAAATGAAACCGAATTTAATTTAAAGTAATCTTTATTTCTTGTTTAGTGAAAATCCATTATCCGATGCTGTCCATTTACCCGAATTTAAAGGACAATTATGTCGTGTTACAAAAGCAACTGAAATTGGAATTCTAATTCTATTATCATTATTATTAACTTTTAATGCATATATTTATCATGTTGAAAAAGTAACTTATCATTAGAACGTTTTTCTTTTCTTTCAAGATAAAGAAATCCGTTTCTAAAACGAGAATTTAGAATCAATACATTTGTTTGAAATAAGTTTACTTTAGTAGATATTGAAATTCTATGATAATATACAAGAATAAATAATCTCGATTTATAAAACGACATCAATGCAACTGGGTACTTTATAATTGCTTAAGAAATTTTATCGACATGATTTCATTTGATATTCACCCTTTGCAATATCTCGATTGGCTCACTTAATTGGTAACCTACACACATCTATTCAATATTCATACCGCCAGCCTTTTCTTGATCACGTTTAACTATATAATGAAGTCATTAATACGACTAAGAGATAATTAAATGTCTAAAGAACTACTTTTCGTTTATAGATTTCTTCACATTTAAATAAAAATAAAAATGAACAATGAGAAATAACTTTTCATTCTAAAAACTAAAATTGAAGATAATGATGATTTTCTATTCAATGGTTTATTTTCCCCAATTGAAAAAATCTTTGTTGATTTCGATTGACTTTTCTCCAGTTTTGCAACTACAGAGTTTCAAAGTAATAACAAAATAAAAACCTATTCTAAAAACGAATTTTCTTAAATTAATATCGTTTGTAGATATTCATCATAGTGATGAAAATCTTGACTCTACTATAGAAAAACCTGATCTTAATGAAGCATTTCCAAGAACTTCTATAATAACAACAATGAAACGAGAAACAACATAATCGAAAAGATGTGTTATTGAAAAACAAGTTCAATAATCATCAAATCAAAATGAAAATATACAAAACTGAAACAATGAGTAATATATGTGGAGATAAACATCATACAACATTAAAAACGAGATGGTAAAATAATTCGAGAATATGAAAATGCAAGAATAGATGAATTAGATCAAATTGATTCATCATCGAATGATAATAATGATCAGCCAATTATTAGTAGGAAGAAACATTCGGACTTTTAAAAAAAAACTTTTTCTTAAATAAAATTTTTTTGTTCAAATGATCTACTTAAAATAAACGAAAGAAAATACGTATTATTCGAATTTGTTTTTTTTTTATTTTGAACCTTTTTTCTCTAATCTTCATTTACAACTAACTCACAAATTAGAATATCAATTTAATCTTGTTATTGGTTTTTTAGAAAAAAAATCTACAAATACTTCAATATCAATCTTCACCATAAAGTAAATTATTTAGATACGTTGAATAATATATTAGTATCATTCGTGAAGAAAGGAACTTTTATTTTTGTTAAATAGCATATAAACGGATGCGAAGAAAGCATTGTGAAAATTAAGAAAGTTAGTGTTCTCCTTTTCTTCTGATCTAAAGCCACACCCACGCCCTAGAAATTCTTCGATTCGCATCACAATGGCGATTACGTTTTTGGATACGAGTATTATCCACGATTTTTTTAAGTCTGATTATGAGAGTGATAGATTTTATCAGCACAGACACTAAACATTTACATGTCAGTTGGTTATCTAAGTTATGGTATGATAGAAATTTTGGATCTTTTGAAAAACAAGACAATTGAACATAAGATACATGAAAAGCAGTCGTATATATTGTTTATTTCTAGAAATAAAAGTCTCTGTGATGACTAGTCTAAGGAAAAACATGGTTCTTTTTTAATATCTCACAGTCATAATAGTAATAGAAACTGTATAATCTTTCTTTGAACAACAGTTCTAATCAGTCTAATTCGATACCGATATTGCAGTAGGCTATACACTGGAAAGAGGTGTAAAAATTGCGATGCTCGAATCAGGCTTCAGAATGGACAACTTTTTCATGGTATAGACTTGCCAGATTCGATAAAAATTTCGTTGACAAAGATTTCTTCTAGTTTTACTTGAAGATGATTTCGCCATCGTTGAAGAACTTGATACATGTAAATGAGTATAGCATAATATATCTGTCTGAAGATTTCTCACAAATTGAATCTCAAAAGGACAATCAATGCATAAACAATTTTTTGGGTGTGGGTGTGGGTGTGGGTGGACTGTGGGTGTGGGTGTGGGTGTGGGTGGACTGTGGGTGTGGGTGTGGGTGTGGGTG